TGCGGCAGTTCACGGCAAGTGTAATACTTCTTTACGAGCTGTGCTTGAGCCAGTACTTGTACAACATTTGCTTTTTGTTAAAGGTGAGCTCACTGCCCTGGAATGGACTAAATTTCAGTGGAGTCAGTCACTTTTCATTATATAAGCAATCAAGTAAGCTAACACCTGTTTTCATAATCAGCCAAGTAATCAGAGGCCAAACAATAAAAATTGACTCAACTGAACGATACAAAAATATGAACAGACTTTCCCAGATCCCAGATAACATTATATGTCCAAGAGTATCCTGATCCTAAGGGTGTATTTCAGTACATATTAAAACATTACATTGAAACAGTGTATTATACTTTAAAACTATATTGCCAATACTCCCCTTGGTCTCTTCTTAGAGTCCCTCATTTATCATTTTTCCTGTAAAAATGTCATTGTCAGAGATCATACTAGGCATCTGGAAACATTGTATCAGAGTAAAGTCAGAATAGCAGGGGAGGGAGGGTTTATGTTACACATGCACCCTGTCTTGGTGATGATTTGGCTTTTTAAAAATCAATTATAAAAACTGAGTTGTGATTTTTTTCTGTGTACTATATAATTTGACCTCAGGATTGAAAAACATATCCAGCCTGAAAATATGTGCATTGCTACACTCCTAGTGTGCATGCACACAAGCTTTGAGCCTCGTGCAAATAACTTATGAAAACGGCATATATTCAGGCACTCCTCCTTTTTATGGAAAAAAACGTTTTATATTGAGATACCACTGTATCATTAAATCAAATTTGGAATTTCGTGTATCGTTTAGGAATGTGCATTCTGACTAATTTTGATATTTTGAGAGTCTGCACAAGTTTATGAACAGATATCCAGTTAACCGCAGAGAAGGAAAGAATATTGGGGGGGAGGAAAAAAGGATTTCTGATGAATAGTTTTTAGCTGATAAGCACTGATGTTGCACAAAAATGTAACATCCGCAGAGGTATACAATTAAAAACTTTTTATTATTTAAAAATAGCTGATAGGGCTCATGTGATCTGTAAAACTCGCGCAAAAAAGAATGCTCAGACAAACTATAAACTTTACATCCAAGTCTTTATCTGTCGTAAGTTAGGAGCCCTCACACCAAGTGCTACAGCCCCGTGCTGCTAATTATAACTGCGTCTCGTACAGTGGGTAGAGATTAGATGAAGCTGAAGTTAGCTTCTTGTTCTCATTTCCCTTTCCACTCTAAAGGATGTAGCTGTTACATACAGGCACATGTATGGGTGCTAGCGTGTAACTGATGCACTACTTAAGGTAGTTCAAAAATTCAAATAACAAGGCAACATCAGGCTCGAGAGATTAGCATGTTAAATTCAGCAACTGACACAACAGCTCTATGGAGTTCTTTTAGTGTTCTTTTTTTGTTGTTTTTTTCTTTTGCATTGATTTTTTTACAGAAGAATCATGCAAAGATAGCAGCAGCAAGAACTGAAAAAAAAAACAACTTTGTAGCACTGAGAATGCCTTAAGAAGCCCCTTAAAGAGGATGAGAACATATCTGAGCCTACCTTACTGAGCTAGCATTAGTTTGTAGCATGTTGACTGTCTATGGTTAAGTCACATGTAAGATAAAAAGCTTTTGCCAAAGGCAATGCTGTGTGTGTTTGGCAGGACAAATGCAGTTAGGGTTTAAGGTGGGCTGGTCTGCATACTCCCAGTTGTACATACATATAGAGAGGTCCCATTCTGGGCCAGACCACAACACTGGTACAACACTGGATGCTGATGAAAGACTTGTCTTTTACAGGTATTTTTTTACTCTTCAGTGGACAATGTGCCAACATATTAGTTTGCTAGAGAAATATACTTTTAACTGTTTCACGACCTAACATAGTCTATGAAAGCAATGTTATCTCAGTGTGAGTGAGTGTGTGAGTGAGTGTGTGAGTGAGTGTGTGAGTGAGTGTGTGAGTGATTGAGCACCGTCGCATACCTGCGATGAAGTTGTACCTCTGCGATGAGTGTCTATACACTTTGTAAAAGAAAAAAAAAAGTTTGAACATAAATGCACAAATTGTGGAGTATTTTTTTTTCTTTGCTGTTTTTGTCAAAAATAAAATTGTTTTGGTTATATTAACCAATATACTACACTATATATAATAGCAGGCATTGATTTAGCTGTCAGTGCATAAGAATTGTTACAATACACATGTTAATATTGTTTTTTGTATTGTGACTGCATGACAGGATGCATCATTATTTGAATAGCTGCATATTATGCTATAAAAATTTTACATCAGGCATTCTGACATGCATGGAATGGTTTCCACCATTCAGTTAAAGCCAGCAATATTTCTAAAAGCGAAAACTGTGAAAAGTAGGTAAAAAGAGTGACCACAAAAGAAAAAAAAATTGTTAATTATTTCTTCACCAGATGCTGCAGTATTGTGATAATTAGACTTAGACCAAAATAAAAGCAAAGTGATTTTTTTTTAATGTATGTATTGTATTGTGGTTCAAAAACCAAAATACATATTGTACAGTGAATTCTACATGCCTAGTGCCTATTGGCTTCTTGTGTTGTGTATTCCTATTTTTAATTGGGTGTCAGTGGTGATGCAGCAGGGCAGCTTGTTGACCTTAGGCTAACGCAAGTGTAGCTTATATCAAAAAAGGAGGGCTTGTCTTTCCAATGCACAGCCTGTGTTTATGTTTGGATTACATGTGCGTTTAGTAACAGGTCACGCGAGGCTGTGTTTGACCTGCTGACGCCGCAGTGTTCTCTCCCTTGCCCTCATTTAGCTGTCAGCCGAGCCAGAGGGGTGAAGCAGCCTCGAGCCTGAGTGTCACCGCTAATTACTTGAACAAGTGACTATATTACCCAGACTCCTCCAACCATGTGCTTCCAGTCAGAGCGGTGCAAATGCATTCCTTGCACATTTGACCACAAACTGTGTGGTAGATTGAAAAATAGTATGGTCACAATGCCGATGCCTTATCCTGGCATTTTCAGAACTTTTTTGTAAACCCTTACACAGCTTAAATACTTATTCTTCTACCAGTGTCTCTACTTTATCATAAAAAAAAAAAAAAAAATTTAGTACAACTTTACAACAAGACTTTTACAAGTGACTAGTAAGAGGAATTCAAATATCATGCATATTTGATGATAATAATCATCATTAAATTGCCAGCTAATCACTGCAGGTCCTTCTGATTTCTTATATTTAGTTTATTAATAAAATTGTAAACAACTTAAAAACAATTAATTAGCAGTTATATCACATAAATGAAAAGGGCAGTGAAACTACTGTTTGCCAAATAGAGAGCCCACAATCATGGAAATTCATAAATTTCAAAGAACTTCATCTTCTCCATCAGTAAGCACTATACCAGTGAACTTTCTCAAATATTCATATTCATCAGATCATCAGACATAACCCATCACTATTGCCCTTTTTATTTGTGTTATAACTGCTTATTAATTATTTTTCAGTTGTGTATGATTTTATTAATAAACTAAATATAAATAATCATCATTAAATTGCGAGCTAATCACTGCAGGTCCTTCTGATTTCTGTCATCAAATATGCATGATATTTAGATTTCTCTTACTAGTCACTTTTAAGATGATAAACAATCTGTTACACTTGTGAGGATTTTTTGCCGTGTGATATTTTTAAAAATATTTTTTACAATTTCCCAAAAATTATTTTGAAAAGCTGTGCATAGTTGCATGGTATATTAATCATAAAAGTAATTGGCCCTTTTGCCCTATATATATATATATATATATATATATATATGTATATATATATATATAAAATGTCCTCCACTATTATTATATCATACACTATTGCTCAGCATTATACCACATTGTACGCCTGATGTACCTCAAGAAATTTGTTGTGTTACAATTTGTGCAGATACACTATGATGTAATCATGTATACCATCTGTTTGAGACACACCCTGAGTCTGAAGGCTCTCCCTCATACTGTCTAGAGCTAAAGCAGTGTGATCAGTTGCTGCCACCTGCAGGGAGATTAATGCAGTGCAAAACACTGAACCAAACAGGCATACAGCCAAGGGAAGCATTTTTGAATGTTCTTCATCTTAATAATGAATTAAACAGTTGCTGATTAATCCATTGCCCTGATTAATATGTTGAGCAGAGTTGGGCCTGTTAGTACTGTTAAAGAGGAACAGCATTTCTTCGTAATTAAATTGCTGAGATTTTAAAGTCATTTAGAGTGGTTTGATATGAAATCAGTCATTACAGAAAATCAGATGGCACATTTGTACCATGTCATGTAAATGTTCTCAAGTAATTTCATGTAAGTTTTCTGTGATGCAGCTTTTAGATGTATTAAATGCATCAGGCGTCTGAGTTTCTCTAGAATGGTACATTTAACATCATACCACTCTGAATGACTTTGTTTACATCTTAACCATTGATTTATACAGACATTTTAAAAGTCAGTGGAATTCCCCAATAAGGGTATGTAGGTGTGAGCATTCACTATTTATGCTGAGTTAGTGGTAAATTGAAGTTAGTAAAGGCATCAGATTTATCACTTCAGTCATGGCCTGTGCAACTATAAAATAATCATATATAGAATAATCATTTTTCAAATTATTCATATATAAGCTGATCAAAAACTTTGTCAGAGCATGTGCTAACCTCAGCTGCATCAGTCTTAATGCAGTCTAAATAAGTTTCCTACTGCTCTGAACAGCTAGCTACCACATTCTCATTTATTTCCTGAAATGCAGCTGAGTGCATGCTAGTTAAGAGTCCAGAGCAGCAAAAAACTCACGATTGACGTCACCTTACTTACGAACTCTAAAACAGATGGTTAGAAATTAACAGCACGATTCATTTCGGGTTTCATAACAGTAATAAAATCATTATTCAAATAATTTTGGTCTTTTGGAACATTTTAAATCAGTTAAATTTTATGGAATATTCATTGCAGCTGTAGGGCATGGGTATTCATGGTTTTGTCTTAACCCGCACAGGTAATCATTGAGGTCACAGAGATGCTTCACAACGCCAGCCTTCTGATTGACGACATTGAGGACAGCTCCAAGCTGCGACGTGGCTTCCCCGTGGCCCACAGCATCTACGGTGTGCCTTCGGTCATCAATTCGGCCAACTACGTCTATTTCTTGGGCCTGGAGAAGGTATTGATGCTGGACCACCCTGAGGCGGTGCATGTCTTCACCCGCCAGCTTCTGGAGCTGCACCGTGGCCAGGGCATGGACATCCACTGGAGGGACACGTACACGTGCCCCAGTGAGGCTGAGTATCGTGCCATGGTGCTGCAGAAGACAGGTGGCCTTTTTGGCTTAGCAGTTGGTCTCATGCAGCTCTTCTCCAACTGGAAGCGAGACCTGAAGCCCCTGCTGGACACTCTGGGCCTCTTCTTCCAGATCCGTGATGACTATGCAAATCTGAGCTCGCGTGAGTACAGTGCCAACAAGAGCTTCTGCGAGGACCTGACCGAAGGCAAATTCTCCTTCCCCACCATCCACGCCATCTGGTCACGGCCAGAGAGCACACAAGTGCAGAACATTCTGCGCCAGCGCACTGAGAACGTGGACATCAAACGCTACTGCGTGGACTACCTGGAGAAAGTGGGCTCCTTTGCCTACACCAGGCAGACACTCAGGGACCTGGAGGCAGAGGCCTACAGACTGATTGCGGAGTTAGGGGGCAACCCAGAGCTGGAGGGACTGGTAGAACATCTCAGCCGCATGTACAAGGAGCCGGAGGCAGCAGCTTCTACTTCAAGTTCAAACAGCCATTTGAAGCAGTGACCAAGGACAAGTCTCACTACTGAATTCGTAACCTTTTTCTTGTCCCTGCTGCCCAAAGTCTCCTGAATATAATTGTTTGTATTTTGTTTTGCTACACACTGACCACAAAACTTAGTAGACCAACGTTTTGTTTTGCAAGATAACAAAGCTTTCATTATGAGCTTCACAGAAACTCTCACTGTAGTAAAGTTGTCTTTGCATAGAATTACATTTATTCACCACAAACCCTTTTTTCCATGTATGGCTTATGTATCACATGGCTTATTTGACCTTAAAGATGCATATCCACTTCCAGCTACAGACTGATAATTCAGCTACGGTTGTTACCCTGTAACATAGTGTTACAAATCAATATATGAGCTAGGCTTTTGGGCATTTATCATAATATAATTGAATATCAGAAGTGAAAGTGTAAGTTCTTTTGACCATGCAAACCTCATTGTGTCCTTGCAAATGCACAATACAAAAAAGGCAACAAAGCCCGAGCAAACAACAGTCAATAGACAAATGAAGCCTTAATTTTCTTCATGCGCTCTGGTCACCAGAGCTCTTTTAGGTTTAGTGATTTAGAATGACAAATATGTGTTTTTGACAAAGGTTTTATACTGTATGTTTGGGCAAAAACTGCAGGGAAAATAGAAAGGGGACTGTGAATATCACCTGTTAGAATCAGTGTGTGCTACTGACATTGAGATGTACTGTTGGGTTTGTTAGATTTGATCTATTCAATGGGGGATGAACAAACCTGTGAATCTTTCCCAGTGTAAGCCTGAAATATCAAATTTACTTTTTGTATTTTTTGTTTTTATGATGTCTACACTCCAAAGAATAAAATGAGATCTACTGATGCAAATGTTCCATTTTAAACTTATATGTGATTAAGACATGAGAATAAACATGGTTTTCATGCAGTACAACAGTAAAAATTTTAGAATGGGCATTTTGGGATTTTCAAAGTTCAAATCAGAGACTATGATAATATGCCTCTGAAATGTCTTTGTACCATAACAACCATGTTTTCTACGATTATAAGGGATTTTACTGTACTGTACTTTAGCGTTGTCACAATTACTTGATTTAAAAAAAAATATATATTACACACAGATCATACCTTCTTGATCAACTGGCAATGATTAGTTAGCATATTCAATGAGAGAACAGGGCTGCTGGTAATGAATATTTAGTAATCGATTGGTATGTAGATTTCTTTATCAATGCATAGATTAGATAATTCATTTTCATAACAGTAGGAAAATCACTTAAAAGTCTTCATTAGAGAAAAACAGAAAACATACTGACTAACAGTTCAGAAAAACGCAGGTTTTCTAGTGTTTTTTAACATGTGACGGTAAATCTTTTTTTGTGATTAAGATGCTCAACAATCGCTGGCTCCCCAGTGCCGCCATGTCATGCACAATGAGTTGTATAATATGCTGCATATATTACATTAGGTACTAGGGCCATCAACAAATACTCTAAATTCAATTATAAAACAAAAATGTAAAAAAAAAAAATTGATTGGAATGGTTAATATTTGAGGGCGGCACGGTGACACAGTGGGTAGCGCTGTCGCCTCTCAGCAAGAAGGGCCTGGGTTCGGTTCCCGGCCGGGTGACCAGGGTCATTTCTGTGTGGAGTTTGCATGTTCTCCCCGTGTCTGCGTGGGTTTCCTCCGGGTACTCCGGTTTCCTCCCACAATCCAAAAACATGCAGTCAGGCTGATTGGACATGCTAAATTGCCCCTAGGTGTGAGTGTGTGTGTGAATGTATATGTCTGTCTGTCTGCCCTGCGATAGACTGGCGACCTGTCCAGGGTGTATCCTGCCTTCCGCCCAATGACAGCTGGGATAGGCTCCAGCACCCCACCGCGACCCAGAAGGATAAGCGGTTTAGATGATGGATGGATGGTTAATATTTGATTGTTAAAAAAAAGATGGTTTTTTTTTTTAGGAATTTTAAATCCGATGAGAGCAATTGTTTCATTTTGCTTAAACAGTTTGAATAATTCAGTGTGATCATCATCAACAATATCAATAGTCTGGAGGCGATAACACTGTCTGCTTTAGCCATGTAATTTTATCAAGAAACAATTTATAGGCCATTAAAGCGAGATCTACCAAACTATACCAAGAACAACATTAGCTTGATGCAACACCAAAGCCTGTTCATTTTCTCTGGTTTAATCAGGCTTATTTGTGGCGTTACCACATTCCATGCTGAAACAGGGTACTGGGGAAAGGTGCCATGAATGCTGATTGATTCCACAGGGCCTGGCCCAAAGGCACCCTGAGCTGGCAGCTGTCCTCAAAGTCCACATTGTAATGACTCAAATAACAAGCGGATATAAAGGGCAAGAGACCTTAAGGATTCTGGGTTTGAAAACTTGTATATGGGACAGATTCTTATGTCACAAGCTTTAGCATTTAATGGAAATATCGTTCATACTAATTGTTAAAAGAGCTTATCTCTATTACAAACACAATACAGCTCAGTGACAAAGTAAATTTAAAAGCAAATACATTCTAGCTCATGCCAGAACATTCTTCACCATGTTGGTCAGAGAGCTGTAAACAAGGCCCACTGATTCATCCTAGCCGGTATCTCAAAGAATTTTCGTTAACAGGCAGCTCCTGCTCCTCAATTTAGTCATTACCAATTTCCACCTACTTACTAAGTCTCCCCCCAATTACACGAAGCTGCCAAGATAGGAGGGTCCAGGTGTGCCTCCTCGAAGATGTGTAAAGCCAGCCACCGCGTCTTTTCAATCTGCTGCTAACACAACATCACTGGACAGCTCAACATGTTTGGACAGCAAGGCTAACTGCCAAAACTGTTACATCAGCTGACAGATGGCACGGAGCAACTGGGAGAGAAAGAGGGCCATTCTGCCCACCCAGAGAGTAAGTCTAATTATGCACTCTTGAACTCTCAGCCATGGATGGCTGTGGAATCACCAGGGAATGAGCTTGTGATTCTCCATGGTGTTCTAGCACTTAAGGTTTAAATTATTTTCATGAGCACTGGTGATGCACAATGAATTATTTTTAACATCGTTGGGATAAGAGTCTCCGCAATAAGCACACTGCAACGCACTAGGTTAACAGTACTACTCAAATTACATCATGCACCGCCAGAGTGAATCCCACTCTCCTGTGCTGTGTGAGTTTCTTATCCATGTTTGCGATCCAGACATTCACAAAGTAAACCCACTTGTGCAGCAGAAGTACACTATCCCAAACTACTAGCCTGTAAAAAAAATACTCGTTCTCAAGTTTCCTAAAAAATGTGTTAAACTACTGTCACATATCATATCCTAATGCATCAGCATTAGGATATTTATTCATTTCCCTATATAGAAAACGTAACATTTTTATTCATGTGAAAGCTATGTTTACAAAATGAGTTGTGCTTTAAGGCAATTAACCAGTTGTACATAGTTAGCTAGCTAATGTATGTAATGCTGTGACAAGCTGCTATATTTATATTAAACATAAACTAATACAGATTCGAATATTACAGCGGCTAATCTTAGTAATGTAACATGAAGTCTTTAATGATTTTTTTTAAGGGTAACAGTAGGTCATTCTGACAAAACTGTTAAAGTCATTTAAAGTGTAAACTTCAGGGAGTAGTTTGCTTTGTCAATGCAATGGCATGTGGACAAAGTTACCGTTTACAGACCTTCTGCTTTAGAACTTACACCAGCCTGTTTTCCTTTCCTGTAGTCAACACTGTGCTTCCGTGGAAAGCTAAGTCCGACTTGTATATGTTGTTTATGACTGCTTTAAAAGGCCCCTAGATAACTTTGTCATAGTTATTCTTTTTCTGTTGCTTTCTGTTCACTTAGGAACGACACTATTAGTGAATTGGAATTGCTGCTCTCTTCAGGTTAAGTTGTTAGCTCACTTTAAATTGGACTTTGCTTTGAAAATGCAAACAAAATATCAACAATGGAAATATTTGTTGATTTTTGATTGTCAACATTATCTATAATGTTGAATATTTGCTTTAGAATCAGTTCCTTTAACCTTACATCAGTTCCTCAAATTAATAAAATCTACTAAAAAATTAAAAATGAGCACGAATGAGTTAAACCTGCTACCACAAAATTGCTTAAGAAAAGCTTTTAAGTCAAAACTGGCAGAAAGGCCTTTAGTATATGTTAGTTCACATAAATGATGTGAAATTGTTTCAATAAACAGATCAAGAGGACAAGGCTACCAGTCTAAGCGTAAAAATCAGAGGAATGAAAAGGCCTAGCTGTTCCTGATGATCTTCTAAGCTTCAGAAGGATTTAAAACAAATATATAAACAAATTTTATAAACAAATTTTATAAACAAATTTGATTTTTAATTAAATTACATTGGCAATGACAAATTAAAGTTACTGCAAAGCCAAAATTGTAAATATTATGTTAATGCCTATTTCAAGTAAACAAAAATGTGTATGGTTCAGCAAAGACAGAATTTTGCATTTGTGTGCTAAGAAACCTTGATCTTGATCTCAGAAATCAAGCAGGGTTGGTCCAAATATTTTATTGAACAAAGAAGACAAAGAAGATAAGTTGAAAAAAAGGCAGCATACTTTAAAAGACTTTAAAAGACTTTAAAAGACGGTTCACCAGTTAGCTGACTTTAGTATTTTATTTCCCAGCAAACTCTTAGGCACCAACACAGCTTCATTCTTGTGATATTTGAATATCGCTATGCACTGTTCGCTGTTGAGTCGTTAAAAACTCCAAGGAGGTTTGCTGTGTCTGTGTTCCACACAAGTAGCTTGTAAGAGCATGGTTAGCCTTATTTCCTGTTAATATTGCTCCATTCTCTTTCACCATTGCTGCCTATAGCCACAAATCATATTTGTTTACAAAACATATTTTAAATGCAAAATAAAGTTTCAAATGTAGTAAAATACATTTGAAAATACATTTGTAGTAAAATTCGTTAGCTTCCAAGCAACTTAGCCTTTTTTGTACTATATCTTCTGTGTCTGCCCCCACACACACAAAATTATTTTGTTTTGAGGACTTTTTTCTCTTTCTTTTTATTTCAGATGATATTGTGAAAATTGATAGAGTGGCAATAAATTTTACCATATCAGATAAATATGGCAGCATATTCCGGACTTTTTTCAGATTCAAAATTTGACAATATTAACTCAAATTTGTATTTGCAATAGCATTTCCCATGTTAGTATGCATAATTCAAAGTGATTTTTGTGTGGAAGTGATTCTTGACTAACTAGGAGAGCTTGTGGCTTCACAAGCACCAGTCTTAGTGACACTGTGACCAGCTTCAGGCAGAGGCTCGCAGGACTGTCAGAGGAACACAGATCCTGCACCTTTCAGTATTTTTTCTGCTTGAACACACCCATTACAAACAGTCAGCGATTGTTAACGAGCTGTTGTTTTGTGTTTAAGTGATTTTTGACCAACCAGGAACTTCTGGCTGTCACAAACACCAGTGTTTTGACACTGTGACTAGAGGCTTGCAGAACTGCTGGAGAAACACTACCCTGCACATTTTAGTGCTTTCACTGCTTTAACACACCCACTACGAGTACTTAGGGTCTGTTAACAAGCTGAGCAGCCGGTTTTCCAATATCATCTTATGGGTTGGGAAACACAGTGGTCCTGCACCTCCTTAATTGATCAACGAAACAGGATTGCATTTTAATTTTGGCCAAGCTGGAGTGTGACAGTAAGGAAATGCAATTGCAAATGGGTAATTGTTATTCTGTTTTAACATGAGGAGTCAAACCATTAGGACAATGAAAATTAAATGTCAAAACCACTTTGCTTTTTCATATTAAATAGATCCAACCATTATGCACATTTTGCATTTGAATTTGATCTATGTTTTGAATATTGCACACACACTGGAAATGCAATTGTAAATACAAAATTTCAATAGCATTTTCAAATTTGCATTTGAATTTGAAGTAAGTCCGGAATATGCTGTCATAGATAAACACAAAAACTCAAACAAACACAAAAATCGCAGAAGAAAAACAAATTGTTAAATATAAGAAAGCCATGTAAGATGAGATATTGGCTGCCTATGTTCTAATATCAAACTCTTCCGTCTGTGTGACCTCAAAGCATAATGTTTACTATTAAAATGCCATAACACTCTTTTTGAAATGCTAAAAGAATATAAATAAATGTTTGACTAGCTCACTCTGATCCATTCAGACATACTAAACAAATGGAAAGCCAGTCAAATTCTACTGCACCATTCTAGCATCTTTTATCAGGCTCCTTAGAATTCGAGATTTAAGAGCACTTCTACTCTGCAAAGAACTTTGCTGTGCATGCCAGGACTCACATATTTAAAATTTAAGATTTTACCTGAAATATCAAATTATCTGCATGCCACTGTAAACACAAATATATCAAAGAAAATGTCAAAGAAGGTTGCATCCATGTAATATATGCATGCTTTTATTAGACCACAGGCTGCCTCCTACTGAACATCTAGGTGCTTTTAATTTGAAAGAAAAAGCATGATTTTTGTAAACTTGTGGTATTTAGAGCTCCTCACTCTCAGGAGTATGTTCGTCTTGGGAGGTGGTAAATATCATAGGGCAGTTGTCTGTCATGAGACATTCTGGCTTAATGTTTACCAGTTTATCTTCACCAGTTAGTGCAGCAAAATGACTTCCAGTAAGTGATGTTTTCCTAATCAGTGGGTGGGCCCACTGATGCCAATGGGCTGCAGAAGAAAAAAAAATTATGAGATTCATGGTATTGTAAGGACAGAGATTTTTGTAAGAAACTGTTGTATGGTTGTATTATTTAATCATTATAATGTGACATTGCTAATTGAGGGCCCTATTTTCATGCATAGTGCAAGTACAAAAAAGCACAAAATCAGTGTTAAACTAACATAACAATCAAGGACTATCCCATGAACAGCACAGTGGTTTACAAATATTTAACTGATTATGTCACACATGTATACTGAGTATTTTATAACAGCTTTGAATGTGGATTATCTTATTTTAGTTTTTTCAGATATTCTATTGATTCTATTAATTACATGATGCTCTGTGCATGGTGACTGTTGGTTGTCCAGTTTACATTAGCACCCATTACAGTCTTTTATCACAAAAAAATAAAGCGGTTATATTTACTTAGTAAAATAGAAATTATCTATTTATAAAAGTAGAAATTGGCTTTAGTATTGAGATTTGTACCATAAATAGTGTACATTCACCACACGTCTTCACCTGCACAAAGATACCATTTTGTGTTAAGAAAATCAGTGGATTTTACTGGTGGATTTCAAATGCCACACCCATGTTATGTTACTCCACCCAAGTTGGCATGTGTTATCATTTCTTGTCACCAAAATACTGGCCACAAAAGAGAAAAAATGCTTTTGTGCCTAAACGCTAGCGTTGTACCACTAGACTGCTTTTTCACCTTCATGAAAATAGGGTTGAGATTACATAATATGTTATGATAATAGAACAGTGAATCATGTCAAAACCTACAAAGATAGGGATACATCAAAGACTTACCATAAATGTCAAGTCTGGCTGTGCAAGAAATGATACCAGCCTCATTTTTTGCAGACACTGTATACCAGCCAGCATCTTCTTTCCTGGTTGGCTGAATAAGCAGGCAACCATATCCTGTAGCATCTTGGTGCAAGCTAGGTTTAAAAGATTACACAGAGTACGCTTTTAGTAGGAAGTTTAGCAGTTGCAGTTTAGATGTTTTATAATAAATGAAAAAAAATATATAATATATAAAGAAAAATATGCTGCTATTGTAAACGAATTCCTTGTGTTTCAAATAATGTCATATAAAAGGCAGTTAAGAAAAAATACTTTAAAAACATACTTTTTTGGTCATCTTTTAGAAAGAGAACAACACTAAAAAGGGAGGTTTTATTTCTTACAAGGTTGCGAACTTACCTAAATCTTTCCTTAGAGTCGGAGATGGTGTCATTGTCTTTCTTCCAGTAAAGCACAGGAGGGGGCATACCCACTACTCGGCATTCTAGACGGACTGGGGTACCCTCTGCAATGCCTGTGTTCTGCAACTTTTCCACAAACTGTGGGGCTTGTTTCATCTCTTTCTCTGAAAAAGTAATATTTTAGTTCCTATGAAGCAAAATGGCATTCGAACAATCAAACTACAGATGGGTCTCACATATCAAAGGAAAAACTCAAATACATGAATGGAGAAAAATAGGCCCAGATGTTTTCAGATTAGCTTGGGCAGGATGTTAATTGTTTAATTGTATCATGTATTACATGTCATGCTGAAGTGGCATATAGGCATCGACTTTGACGTGTGTGTAGACTTATGGGAAAAATAAATTAAGTAAATAGAGTTAGAAATTGTGGTCAAAATCATACATTCTATGACCATGATCCTCATGCATTAGCGCCATATAATGAAAAATATACAGTGCCTTCCACAAATGTTGACACTCCTGGTAAACATAAGCAAAACTGTAAAAAATGTTCTTGATTTCTTATTCTTTTGGTCTTTTATTTAAAATATTAACAAAAATCTAATCTTTATTTCAAATACAGTCATTGGAAGAAAAAGCCTAAATATTATCATGAAATAAACATTTTTTTCTCAGATCTATAGATGCCAAAGTTATTGGGACCTTTTAATTTAGTATTTTGTGCAGCCTCTTTTTGCAAAGATAACATCTCTGAGTCTTCTCCTCTAATGTTTAATGAGACTGGAGAATACATGGCAAGGGATCTGAGACTAATCTTCCATACAGAATTTCACCAGATCTTTCTGATTTCGAGGTCATCCTACAGGTTTTCTATGGGGTTTAGGTCAGGGGACTGGGCCATGGTAAAACCTTGATTCTATGGTCAGTGAATCTTTTTTGTGTTGATTTTGAGGGGTGCTTTGATTTGGATCATTGTCCTGCTGGAATACCCAACCCCAGACCTATTTAAGCCTCCTGTCTGAGGCAGTCAGATTTTGATTTAATATCTGCTACATGATGGAGTCTATGATACCAAGGCCTTTGCAGCCCCACAGCATCACAGATCCACCACCATACTTCACAATGGGGTTGAGATCCTTTTCTATCTTTGTGACTTTGCCAAACCCACCTCTGGTGTTTGTTGCCAAGAAGCTCTGTTTTGGTCACATCTGACCATAGAACACAGTAGCACGAAAGTTCCAGTAATGTTTGTAAAACAGTAGGCATTTTGAGTTTGTTGAGGCTTTCTTCTGGAAACCCTTCCAAAAAACTTATTGGTTGTTCAAACAACTTACTGGTGGTTATGTTGGTGGCATCTGTTTGTAGTTTGGGAGACGTTTTGACCCCAAGACCTAACTAATGTCTGCAATTCCCTAGCTGTGATCCTTGGGGGTTCTATGGCCATTTGAATCATCTGCACTGTGTGTGGGGTCAATACAGACAAACATCCTATTCCTGAAAAGTTCTTAACACCTTTAGTTGCTTTAAGTTTCTTAATTATTGCCTTGATAGTAGAAATGGTCATTTCACCCGTTCAGCTGCTCTCTTGTAAGAATTTCCTTTTGAAGCTCAATAACCTTTTGTCACACATCATCATTATATTCTATGGTCTTTCTCATACTTATGGATGACTAAGGGAATTCTAACAGGAAGTCTAGGCTGACAACTTAAATTCTCCTAATTGTTTAGGTGAAGTTTAAAACATAAAGTACAAATGTGAATATACTTTAGGTAGATTTCACTCATAAAGAGAATCCCCAGTTGTAAAGGAATCTAAAGGTTTATGTTTATGTGTAGATTATGTATGGAGGAATGGTGTCAGATTCCTTGCCATGTGCTCTCCAGTCTTATTAAGCATTATAGGAGAAGACTTAGAGCTGTTATCTTTACAAAAGGAGACTGCACAAAGTATTAAATAAAGAGATGCCAACAATTGCAGCACACGTAGATTTAAGAAAAATATTTATTTCATGATCAGATTTAGTTTTTTTCTCTCAATAATTGTACTTCAAATACAGGTTAGAGTTTTGTTACTATTATGAATGAAAGAGCAAAAGGATAAGCAATACAGATAAGCAATAAAAAAAGCTTTTTACAGCCTGTTTTCCTCATGTTTACCAGAGGTGCCAATATTTGTGGAGGGCACTGTAAGACCAACAATTCCTCAGGTGAATTAGCTGTTCTGGCAGCTAGTGGTGCCCGACACCTTACTAAGACATTTTATTTTGGTTTTCACCTTAATCTGTCAGCCATCTGTATGCAGTGTTTGGGGTGTGCATCTCCTTCTTTGAAAGATAAGATTCATGTCTAGATACTCAGTTTATGACATAAGAGAAAAACAATACAGCCAAACAAGTAATTATTCAGTGCTTTGACTCACTACTGATCTGACACATTTCAGTTCAGATCTGATATTAAATTTGACATAATTGACATATTAGTAACAACCTCTTTTGTGTCTGTAGCTTACTCTTTTGGTTGTGCGTTTGTGCTGTGCACATGCCAGTCCACTAGAGGGATACCTATGCTTAGAAAGACTCAAGCTGAATGTAACTGAGCTGTATGGACATAGTTCAAACCATGGACATGGAATATTCTACTCATTTAATGAAATTTAATTTTGCTTATACTGAGAGCTAGATACAGCTTTCCAATATTGAATATGTTCTAGCTTGTCATTACTGCAGAAATGTTTTGATTTGCTTTATACACAGCCTTTATTCAACCGAACATTACTACGATTATCTGATTATCACCAATACCTAAATTCTGCTACATAATTGCCCTATGCAAATGTTTCCCCTATGCAGTGTTTTGTTGATCCAGTGACTCCTTCAGTACAGATTTTAATTTACAGCTAATCTGTCTTTACAGTTAATCAGAAATCAAAATTGCCTGTGTTAATGCGCCTGGTCAAACTAAGCATGACTCATCAAACTGTACCATTTTAACATGTAAGTAAGTTGTTAAACAGAATCACATAGCCTAAGCTGCAGCCTAAGTTGATAAACAGTGATGCCATATGTTGTTTCATACATTGCTGTTGGTTTGCACTGTAATGTTATTTGCTCTATGTGGAGTTCTGTGTTCAAAAATGCTGTCAGGTGGATCAGACTGTGAGGGGAGGTATTGTTTCTTAGCTTTACTTTTTGATTAAAATGATTCACAATTACTATTCAATTAAAAAGTTATGTTTTTAACTAGCAATGTATGAATGCATTAGACTTTCACAATTACCTTAAAGTTTCAGTTTCCTGTAACACACACTATATGTCTAACAGTATCCAGACACTCTTTATAATTAGTGAACTTAACTACTTTAAATTGCATCCATTGGTGAAACAGGTGTTCAGTTGCACACACACACAGCTTGTATAATCTTCACAGAAAAGCATTGCCAATAGAGTGGGACCATCAAGTGTCTTTGGATGGGTTGAAGTGCAGTTTGTAGTCCAGAACTAATCATCCAACATCAGTATCTGACCTCACTAATGCTCTTGTGGCTAAATGAAATCAAATCCTTGCTGTAATATTCTGACTATCTACTGTAAACCCTTCCCAGAGGAGTTGCTGTTAATGCAGCAAATATACTCCCTAATTATACCTGTTTTCAGAAGTAATGTCTATAAACTTTTGGACATATAATGCATGACTGCCCTAAATATAGTGATATTGACAGGTAGTGTACAGTGATGAACATTTACTGAATCATCATAAGCGTTTAAAGTGTTTGAGTCACATGATTTTTGCAGTGCGAACTGCTTATTTGTAGGGTATAAGATTAAAGGTTAAATAGATTAAGCTCATAGATTAATCTATTAATATATTAGATAGATTAAACTCATAGCTTCCTTGCAAAACTATAGTAGCAAACTTCAAACACCAAACAGAAAATATTCACAAACAAACAAATAATAGTCTGCACATGACTGAATCTAGAAAATTATTTCAGTAAATAATTATTTCAGTAAAAAGTTATTTCAAACTTACCAACAACACTGAGTGTAAGGCAGAATGAACCCTGTCCAGCTTTGTTGGAAGCAATGCATGTGTATGTTCCAGCATCATCTTTTGTGAGAGGATCAATAACTAGAGAGTGGATTCCATTTTCTCTCACCAGCATCCGATGAGTCAAATCTGGACAAATTGGTTTTCCATTCAGAAGCCAAATAATTTCTGGATGGGGCAGTCCACTTACCTGAATTAAATAAAGATTTTTGGTAAGGATTTACATAAATGTAAAAATCATTGCTTGTGTTCATGGAATGAATGTGTTATGTACCTTGCAGTCTAACCTACAAAGTCTGCCCTCATGCGACACCATGTCTCCAGGGGCTTGCAAGAAGTGAGGCTGAAAAAATCTCTCTTGACAAGGCTCTCCCTCCTCTACCTGCTTGACACGGGTTCTTACCCTGAGGTAAATGAGAGAAATGTCAAAATAATTAAATAATAATATCTTTCCAAAGGAGTCTCTGAATTAAACCTGAGCTGATTAATGCCATTGTACCAATACGATTTTTTGATCCTAGCAATGTTTTGTAGTCTGTGAAGTATTTAAACGATGTAGTAATCTCTGTAGTAATAGTAGTAGTAGTAGGTGTAGCAGTAGCAGTAGTTTTATTATTAGTGCTTTGCAGTCAACACTGAATTCACACATTTAATTTACACATTTACACATGAATTCACACATTTGATTTACAAATTTTAATGAATGAAAACAGACTGTCATGTACCTACATATTTAAAAAAAAAAAATAACATTAAGAATATAACTATGTAAATTACAAAGCACAAACACTTAAACAAAACCTATTTAGCCAACTTTAACAACATATCCCAAATAAATCTAAATATGATTAGCAACATCTATCTATAATGCACATTTATTATTAAGTCTAGTAATATAGAGGATAGAAAAAATATTGTAACAGTCAGTCCTCGCCAATGAAATATTAGGATAATGGCTAATCCTAAAATTAGTCTTAATCCTAAAACATTCCTGATATATCTTTTTTTAGATGGTGGAAGCCAGTGTAGACGTAGAAAGTTACAGAGATTGAGCAAACTGAGGCAAATTTGTTCTCGCCTTTCCTCAAGGGGGGTGATGCCCAATGTGTTGAGGGCATGCTGGTAACTAGCATAAGATGCTCCATGAATGATGTGACAGGCTCACTTTTGTCCATGTTCCAACTGTGTATTAGTTATACACATACACTAAGCAGTTAAAGTGATGAAAAGGTAAATCATTCATCTCATCATTGCCATGTAGAGGAGTGGGGGTGGTTGAAGAGAAATAGTAAATGCTTTACTCAAGAAAACAACAGCACTGAGAAGATGGGTGGGAACATTAGTATATTAGCAGTTTCTCATACAAAGTCCTATACCTGTAATTTAAACCAGCACTTTTATTGTGAGAAACCATTATTTACTAAACTATGGGATTTTTATGTAATTTATGTGCGTGATGTCATGACATGTTTGCTAGTATCATGAATGGTTGGCCTACAATAAAATAAAAATAAAAAATTAATGAGAATTAGGTAGAAAACAACCTAGAGTAACTCACCTCTGCAAATGAATCACGGGCCTGTTTCGCATAAGACCCGACTGCACAATCAAATGACCTGAACAACTTATTCTTCCCTAAAAATATTTATGGACAGATTAGACTCATATATTACTCCTGAAGATGCAATGTTCAGACCCAAATTGACAAAGTGTTAATAGTTACCTGAGGATTTGCTGCCATCACAGTATAATTGCCATCATCATCATTAGTAGCAGCCTCTATGTATAAACAGCATGTTCCATCACCTTCTCTTATTCTTTTGAAGTGTCTGTTTTTCTTCAAGATCTGTTTTCCATCCTTAAACCAATATACCTGAGCAGGACGTACAAAAACACAAAAGCATTCAAATGATCTCTTTAATGATGTGTTCACATTAAGCAGTTAATAAAACAAGTGCTTTTATGAAAAAGCATAGAAATGTAGTTCATATGACTAGATCTATTTATGATTAACACTGAGCAGTAATAATAACTACACAATGTGTACCTCAGACTGCTTCATGTTAGAGTGGAAATTAAAATAAAAAATGTGCAAATAAAATATAAAGATCATTCAAAACCTGTAAACATATGCATTTGTTCAGGTCCTGCTGGAGACCATGGCTGTTTTTTCTATTTAGATGACAAAGGCTAAAACGACTCAACACTAATAGTGCCTCTGCTAGAGAAATTTCAGACTGGTAGACTGAGCTCTCTTCTACATGCTTACATATTTTAGAACAAGGAGTTTTCTATTTTTATAATAGAGGGGGGCTTACATATTTTAAAACAAGGAGTTTTCTATTTTTATAATAGAGGGTGGCCTGAAATTCCGCTTAGAAGTCTTTAGGAAACAACAAAGTATTTTATTTTCATTATTTTACAACTTGTAATATTTAATATTATATAATAAGCTGTTAAAATATATGAAAGAAAAAATGTATGTATATTAAAGAACCCCATTGTCACAGTTTCCCCTTTGGCCCTCTGAGGGTGCCTGTTTCTTCCACTGTGTTGTAGCCATGTGCTTTTGGCCATATGCTTTTGTTTTCATTCATGGGCTCTGCCCCTTTTCCTGCCTTCTCTATTAGAATTCTCACCTGTTTGTAGTCCCTCTCCCCTCCCTCTCCCAGGTGTTCCTTATTGTTTGTAGCTATTACAAGCCCTTTTTTTCAGTCTATGGTTGTCTAGTCTACTTGTTGCTTTGTTACATGTAGTGGTTATGTTCCTGTCCTGTGTTTGGTTTACCCAATGTGTTTCTTGATTCAAAGCTGTGTAGTTATTTTGTATAGCCTCAGTTTTTCTACTAGTTTGTTTTGTTTATGAAAGTTTGCTTATGCTTACATCCAGCGTCATTACTCACCACACATGACACCTATCTTTCTGTTTCAGGCAAGAATTTTCATTGGTACAGTTCTGCTGTACAGCAAGTATAGCAAGACGGAATGCGCTAGACTGACACTCAAGCAAAATAAAGGTATGGCAGTTGGAGAATCCATGCCAGAGCATGAGTGTCGCTCTGATTAAAATAAGTGTTTTGCAGTAAAGGAGATTTTTGAGAGGTAGTTGCCAGAGTTCGAGATTTTTTGTTCAAGAAAAAAAGTTATTTTCTTCCCTGTTGTCAGGTTTAAATTATAACACAATAGGTTAAAATAAAGACTTGTTTTCCCAATATTTGAATTGTAAGCCTGTATACCTCGAAAAAATGCGTTATTACTCATCACGAAAGTATGTGACTGAAAGTATGTAACTGTATAATTTTTTTGAGCATAACCTCTTAGCTACAAGCTTATATCAAAGAATTGCTATGGCAATTCTGCCACAGAACACACATAAACCACACTGCATACACAAACCACAGCTTACAGAAATTACAAAGTATTTGCAAGTATTTGTGGTAAAGTGATATCACGTCAATTCAAAGTAGATGGAAAAGAGGGAATGGTCGTTTTACAAGGGGGATGGTTTTTAGTGCCTTGTGGCAGCCCAAAGACTCAAGCTCTTGATAAATAACATCCTCAGGATTTCTCTGCTTGTGAGGTGACCTGTTCCCAATTAAGGAAGAAAGGAAAAGGAAGATCCTTTGGCCTCAGTTATAAGGGAAGGACATAAGAGTGTGGTTGCATTTTGCTGGTCATGTTTGCTAAGTGGTGTGGAAGCCAAGTCAGGAAATGCTTACTGCTCCTTTAAGTCCTCTTCCACTAGTGCAAGGGCCTTTTTTACATGTTTTAATAGATTGTTAGGCTCTTTGCCAAAGTATAAATTAGAAAATGAATTCCTTTTGACCATTATAAATGTTATTTGTTTACCTGCTTGTTTTCCTAATCAGCACAGTCAGTGTTTTCTTTTAGAAAAAGTAACTATTTAATCATTTGAATGGAAATTTGGACCATGTAATGATTTAGTTTAGGCGTTGTTCTATTTTACTGAATATGTTAAGCATTTGCATCAATACTGAAGAGCAATGCAGATACAACATTGGACAAAAATGTTATAAAAATCCTCCATGTGAATACACTCTAAAATGTGTAAAGATGATGCTATAATGGTGAAATCTGAACTCTGAAAGCAATGACAACTAGGTGTTGCAGAGACAAGGGAAGTTGGGGGTGCTGAAATTTTAAGCAGTCTTCACTCTGCTCTTTCATTCTGGACAAACTTTATGCAAATGAATTGAGAGGCAACCAATCAGATTTTTGATATGTGGCACTGTAACCGATTGTGTCAGGTCTACAGTCACACAGTGAGAGTGGGAGATATTTTTGATAAAACTTTTTATCAAAACTACTATTACATTAGATTATATTTTAAAAGTTTACAAACAGATTAAGCTGCTTTGGCGTTCAGAACAGGCCTCTGTCTCTGCACATACTTTCTCTCTTTGCACCTCAAGCTGCATGTGTTTTAGCGACGTGTTCTGAAAGTGGCTAGCTGTTGTCGAGGGAAGCGGTTCGGGTCACTGTAATGAAAATACATCATCAACTTAAATAGAGCAAGGCTTCTATATAGATATATAATAGAAAAATACAAACTCTAAAACAAGCACATGTAAGTCTTTACTATGTTCAAATTATAAAAAGATTTAGATCTCTGTATTATTATTGTTTTTAGCAGATGCAGTTCTAAAATCTTTGTGATATTGTAGCGTCAGCATGAAACATGTGGCTGTTACTGACCTGCCCTGCTTATATAAATATATATAGTACTATATGTATATAGTATATGTAGTAATTATATATAGCATAATATAACTAACAGTAATGTTCAGAAATGTTATTGATTATTTATATTAAACACCAAATATTACAATTTTGCATTGGAATATTAAATAATGAACTTTTTTTCTGAAGTAGAATTAGCATATTTGCTTTAAGAACACTATCTAAAAAATGATTAAAAAATAGAAACACAGAAATAGTTTGTATATGATGATTCAATAAATATAGAACTGGAATGCTGTGTTGTTAAAAGACAATGACGAGGTTCTGCATATTTTTACATAATAGTGTCGCTGGTATTATCCATGTGACTTCTGACTTTAGTTTCTAGCTCAAAGATGCCATCTCTTGAAAGGTGGTGTAACATTTCAAAATTTTGAGCAATTTTAACTAAGCAGTTTAACTAACATGTTAAGAGTTCAGTCTTGTGATGCTAAATTCTAAAGTGTGTGGAATTTGGAGGGAAAATCTAGCACTGCTTGTTGTCCTTCTGGTTTTGTTAACAATCCAGGAATGAGAGTCTGTCCACAGTTTCAAAGAAGGAATGGATTGCTGTAGATTGCCTTTTGCAAGTTTGGCTGAGAGTTTCAGTTGAATATTCTTAAATGGTGATCGGCCGTTCAGGCTACTATATTAAAGAAAATAATCCAAGCTAGGCCATATGGTAGTTTGGTAGTGGTGCAGAAAATGGAGACAAAAGCCCTGTTTCAATTCTTTTTCTAATTTGCCTTCACCACTCACCACTCAGATGTGCATCATGACATTTCTTCCTGTAATTGTGTGATGGTCTCTAACACGCAGCTTGACGTGTGAGCAGAAAAGCCCTAAGTAGCCATGCTGCGTCTTAATTTCTGCTGAATATAATCAATATAATCAAAGTGCACTTAAGTGAAGATTGTAGTTGTAGTTTATTGTCTTCCTTCATTTCACCACCAAACTGCAGCTGCACTGATGAATTTGTGGGCCATTCACTGTGAAGAGGAGCTATAGTGTCCTCATAGCACCCCCAAATCAAAATCAAATCGAATCGCAAAACGTTCATTCAAATAAATTTTTATTTTTATCTCCGTCTCCTCTTGGGCTTCGTATATTAGAAAAAATATAGCGTGTGCATAAATTTGACCTATCTCAGGATAGATCTTATTGCATATTTTTGTATATTTCTAGTTTTATGTATGCCAGTAGGTAGGTTTTTTGTATATATTCTTTTTATATTGTACCACCCTTAATATTATGACTGTCCTGTTTTATGTGTCTGCTACTGGCTGCTAAATTTCGTTTGGGATCAATAAAGTATCTATCTATCTATCTATCTATCTATCTATCTATCTATCTAGCTAGCTAGCTAGCTATGTATCTATCTATCTTGTAGCCTTCTGACAGTCTTTCTCCTCTTGACTGAGTTTTTTCTAAATGAGGAAACGGTCATAGGTTGTCTTACAGGCACAGCATGTTTAAGATGTCATCACAGATTTTCAATAATATTCAAGTCTGGAGGTGGTGAAGGCCATTTCAAAACCTTAATCTTTCATTTTCTGAAGTAGTTCAAGTTTTATTTTAATATAGTGTTTGGATCAATGGATTTAATGCTAATTTCTGATGACCTTTCCATGTAGATGATGTTTGCAACAACTGCACAGTGGGCCAGTGCATCAGTTCATCTGTGCCAGCCAGATCTTCCTGAAGGCATAACTGGGATCAAAATTTTACTGAAGATTGTGCAGAAAAGTGACCTGCATCACATAGTGAACTGCCAAATATGTGTATTACACCAGCTGTTGATTTCACCAAATCCTTGCTCCTTTTTTTTTACCATCTATAATGTTTATTTACATCCCTCCATTCTTCCATAAAATGCCATTACTGTTGATTTGACAGATTTACACCCAGGACTGTTGAGCAGCTAGAATCCTACATCAGACAAGAATGAGACAACATTCCTCTCCCAAAATTCCAGCAATTGGTCTCCTCACTTCCCAGACGTTTACAGGCTGTTGTTAAAAGAAGAAGGGATGCTACACAATGGTAGACATAGCCCTGTCCCAACTTTTTGAGATGCATTGCTGGTAAAATGTCTCACTTTCAACATCTGATATGTGTTCTATGTTCTGCTGTGAATAAAATATGGCTCTATGAGATTTGCAAAACATCACATTGTGTTTTTATTTACATTTATTTACATTTTACACAGCGTCCCAACTTTTTTGGAATTGGGGTTGTAGATAAGCAGATATAATACAGCCTAATGTACCTGATGACTTCTGAATTATGTTACATCATACTGTGCCATCAATGTGCTAGGTAACAGTAAACTTCCTCATGCTCATTGTAGTATGTAATGAGTAAGAAACATAATACAACTACTTTGAATTATCATTAATATCTCATTTGATTAATAATAAAGCTAACTACAGAGCTTGTAGCCAAAACTGAGCAGCTACTGGAACTAAGACGTTTTTCAAAGATTTTTCTTGGTCATGGTCTTCTTGTCTTGACAGTCTTAACAGTTCTCCTTAACTTCCATTTCTTGATTACATTTCGGACATTGAAAATTACAAGCAGGAAGTGTGTAAATATCTTTTATAGTCTTCTCTATCTATGTTAGCGTCAGTTATCTTTAGTTTCAAATTCTCTGACTGCTTCCGAAACTGAAGGCGGCTGTGTTGATTGCTACTGCCTTGCTATAAGGCAGCATTGTGATGTTTGAAACATGCTTCAAAGACAGTGATTTGTCACGTCATTGCCAAGATACGACTGCTTACTGCAAGCTGTTAGCGTTTGATGTTAGCATCTTTTACCCTGAAACAGTGTCTTTTATGAAGGCTGGAATGTTAAACTTTTTAAAACCAAAATAAAAAATGTTGTATGTGTACACAAACCAGTCCCACACCTCCACTGTGTCAATGTTGTTTTCTGCTATTTTTTTCCTAACACTGACACAAAGGATTATGGGATATGTGGGTAAGTACATCTACACTGCCTTCAAAAAACATATATGTATATACAAAATACTATATGAGTAGGCAGCGTTTATTACATTTCAGACACAGCCTCAATTATCTTCTTAGAGCAGCCTGTGGCTGTGAAATAAAGTAAAATATTGATGAATTTGTTGTTTCCTGAGTATCAAAATGTAATACTTTTATTTCTACGCAAGTACATCAGTAAGTAATATAGTTTTTACTCATTTTAGCTATTCATACTTACTCATTCCTTTTTTGTGTTTCATTTCATTATATTTTGTTGGTGACAACATCTGTACTGCTTTGTGATTGGTCATTCATCTGACTTTGGAGCTGTAGCATTTTACTTTGGGCCAAAAGAATAAAAAAAATAAAAGACAAGAACAGAGCTTAACAACCTTTAGGTTCTATAAGATGACCTTTTGCACATGCCACATTTTTAGTTTTTTTTTTTTCCAATATATAAAATTTAGCAAATAATTGGTCACTGTGCATTGAAATTTTGTGGAAATTTGTCATATTTCCGTTTTCTCCATGCAAGTGTTGTTTAAACTTTACACTAAAAAATCAATACAATGTATAATTTGACCAGGGGTGCCTGCACTTTTGAATACAACTGTATAAAAAGTTTTGTTCTGTCCTAGCTATTCACTTTTAACATGAAGAGCTCTTACTGTAACTCTGTGCTTCAGAACCTGTTATATAGGCATCTCTGCATGCTCCTCCTGTGATGGTCAATTTTTAACTTTTATTTTATCTCTAATACTAATTCTGCATGTACGGAAACTTGTACTTGTACTTGTAAAAGTTGCCCTGTGTGTAAATTTCATGATGAATAAACCAAAACAAATTCAGAAAAAAATCTGGTTCCATTGACTTACATTAAACGTAAAGTATGTTTTCTTCGCCTCCTGTAAAGTTACCGTTTGGAAGATATGAGGTTTTTATTCCGACAGCAGCGATATGTTGCTTGTGCTAAACTAATACAAGCAGGTTGCTTTGACTTCAACTGCGTTGAAGTGCTTTGACTCATTTTTGTCCGTATACAGAACATTATACCAGATACTCTGGACTTCCTCCAGTTCATGTATTGACCAAACAGATCTACAAAAGCTGCCATCTCTGCACTGCCATCCATACAGCTCTAGAACACCTAGAGAGCAAGGACAACTATGTGAAAATGCTGTTTATTGATCATTGAGCTTGGCATTCAACACACATCCCATCCAAGCTGGCTGAAAAGCTTCCCACCCTTGGACTGACAGCCTCCTTGTGCAACTGGGTGCTGGATTTTCTGACATGCAGACCCCAGTCTGTCAGGACTGTACACCTCCAGAACATGGATTATAAACGCAGAGACTCCTCAGAGCTGCGTGCTGAGTCTTATACTGTACACTCTATTTACCCATGACTGTATTACCTGCCACAGTAACACCACCATCAATTTTCTGATGATACTACTACCATGGAACTGATCGCTGGGGGCGATGAGACAACTCATGAGGCAAACCTCGTGGCATGGTGCCAGGTCAACAGTGTTTCCTTAAATGTTGACCAAACAAAGGAGATAATTGTGGACTTTTGGAGGAGAGCAGATCAGCACAAACTACTGCTCATTCATCAGACAGAGGTAGAGAGAGTGAGCGCCATCTGGCAGACAACACGTTAATGTGAAACCAAGGACCACCAGATTACGGAACACATTCTACCCCCAAGCCATCAGGACTCTTGGTATTTATATGGTGTTTGTACAGAAGGCAGTGCAAAGTAAGAACTTCATACTACTTATTTTCTATTATAGCAGAAAAATATGCTTAAGAAAGTTTTTTTTGGTCATGTGTAGTTTTTTCCACTTTTTGAATCATTACATAAAGTAATATTAAATTAGGATTCAGAAGAATTCAAGCATTTAATAACGTTCTGTAGGATCAGATGGCAAATTGATTAGTGTAAAAAAAATATATGACTTTGTAAAAGCAGGTTACCATGCTAGGTGTGTTGCAGTACAGAGGCACTGAAAAAACATCCTGGCTTAGGTTTTTGTTGTGCATTGGTTTTAAGCATAGAACAATAAATCCAAAAAGAAATAGTACATTGCATAACAAATACTAAATTGAAGAACTGTAGTTGATTAGTTAAATACAGTTTACAAAGTACAAAGTACAATCACTGTTTCTTGTCAATTATAGGTATTCTATATTTGGTTGATATAGACTATTCTAATAGACATAATGGCCAAGCACACAAGCACATATTTAGCAAAGCCCTTTGATATCTGTTTATACAGTATAAAAGCTTAGAACTGCCTACCTTAGGTATGGGAATTCCAACCACTTTACAAGTAAATGTGACAGGAACTCCTTCCATAGCCCTGAAGTTTTTCAGCTTCTTGTCAAAAAGGGGGGCAATACACTTTCCCGTGGGAACTTCATCATGCTGTATCTCATCGTCTGATTCTTCAACTGGTGTTCTCTCCAGACGGAATTCAATCTCACTCATCAGCCTTTGTTCAAAGTTAGACACCTTGTATTCCTAAAATATACAACAAATTACTAAGAATGTGCTTGAATAACATTTCCTTTCTACTTTGTACAATGAAAAAAGTAAGCATTTCAGTTTTCACTAACCTTTATTAGCCTTTATCAGGAAAATTTTACACTATTAATGAAAAAAGGGAAATGCAACAGGTTCTTGTTCATCGTATTAGAAATAGTTAAGTGAAAAATTTAATTAAAATAAAAGGTCATTTAACCTACCCCACTTACCCTAAATGTAGCCTAGGAGCCAAGACATGATTGGTGTCCAGATTTTGCTTCTTTAGTTTTGCACTAGAGCTATGAAACTAATGTGGCTAACAAAAAATTCACCAAAGTCCTTTCCATAAATACTTGCCCATGGTTTACTGATGTTAGCAAACTGACATATTTAATCTTTCATATAAAATACATTAAATTAAATTTCTATTTCATTACAAATTCATACTTTCATCTGTTTCTATCATTTTTCAATTTGTTTTGAAATGCAAGTAAAGGATTGTGGGTGAGAAAAGGTCTCAAAAGATACACCTGTTCAGTCCTTTTATTTCTCAGAAATGAAGGGTGCATTCAAAGAATTCTACAAAAATGGACAGCCCTCACAGTTGGCTGCATCCTTGGCTTTGAAAAACTGCTAGTGATTCTGAAATGGCTGCCCCCCACATTCAGCTAGATTTTGTTCAAGTTCTGTTAAATCACTGTAAGTCACACTGTGTCCTAAACCACATTGGAAGGTCTGAATTACTTAAGAGCTGGATGCCTTTTGAGGGAAGTGTATGGGCATATTTTTGGAAAAGATTTCGGGAAACCTTAATTTTGCATACTTATTGCATGTAGCTCCAGTGCTGAACTAAAGAAGCAAACTTCAGTCGCCAAACATGGTTCCATGGTTCCATTCCTATCAGTGTGGTCATTAGTTTAGGTTTCAGTTGTGTTGCACAGAGATTCAAGTCTATAAAAGCAATAGTTCTATTCCTTCTCCACATGATTCATCCATAAAGTCTCCTATAGAGCTGAAATAGAGTAACATAGTTTACATGCACCGATCAGGCATAACATTATGACCACCTCCTTGTTTCTATGCTCACTGTCCATTTTATCAGCTCCACTTACTATATAGGTCCACTCTATTAGACACTCCTACCTTGTCAGTCCACCTTCTAGATGTAAAGTCAGAGACGATAGCTCATCTGCTGCTGCACAGTTTTTGTTGGTCACCCTCTAGTCTTTCTTCAGTGGTCACAGGATGCTGCCCACAGGACACTGTTGGCTGGATATTTTTCGTTGGTGGGCTATTCTCAGTCCAGCAGGTACACTGAGGTGTTTAAAAAGCACTGCTGCGTCTGATCCACTCAGACCAGCACAACACACACTAAAACACCACCAGTGCAGTGTTACTGCAGTGCTGAGAATGATCCACCACTCAAATAGTACCTGCTCTGTGAGGGTCCATGGGGGTCCTGACCACTGAAGAACAGGGTAAAAGGGGGCTAACAAAGTATGCAGAGAAACAGATGGACTACAGTCTGTAATTGTAGAACTACAAAGTGCACCTATATAGTAAGTGGAGCTGATAAAATGGACAATGAGCATAGAAACAAGAAGGTGGTCATAATGTTATGCCTCATCAGTGTACTTCAAATGATACACATATACCCAAATACACCTATGAACTAAAGATAGCATACTGTGCTATTGCCTCACATGCAATACAGTAAGGCTGGCCTGATTTATTTGAATACTTGAATGTTTATTCATTATGTTTGCATTCGTTTCTCTGTTTAGTATTTGAAGGCTTTTTTTTATAGGGGCTGGTAACTCCATCAAAAATGTTAAAATTCAAAGATTTCAATTATCATTGTGACTTGATTATCATTAACCAAAATCAGATTTGAAGGAAAAAACAAAAACAACAACAAAAAAAAAAAAAAAACTTTAGTCACATTTTATTTTAATGGTCTTTATTTAATTTAATACATTCCATTACATTCAACTTCAAATTCAGTTTCTTTTAGTATATAATTTGTTGAATATTATTTAAAGACAGACTGAGCATCTACAAATCATCTACAGTATACTATCAAAATAAAGTGTTACCAAAAATCTAAACAATATTTTAAATGGAGTGAAAAGCTAGAGAAACTTCAATTTTCCTGCTGGGTGTTTCAGACCGCATGCTGATTGGCAGTGGCATAGCCATGGCAAGGTAATCCTATGTCAGAACACTTTTTTCCTCTTTTTGATGCTTCTGTTTTCTGGCAGTGGACATACTGTGTGATAAATTATGGAGTTAAGTTAAGTTATGGGGTTAAGTTTAACCATGAGTGTGGTAGTGTTAGTAGCAATTTATCATTTGCTAAAATAACTATAGTACTGTGGCTAGGTGCATAGGACAGGCAAAAAAAAATTAAAGAAATATGGAATAAAGGATTTAATTAAAAGTTAATTTACTTGCATACTCTGTCCTGCAACATCAGACACCCAGTGACAATGGTGAGACACAGAATCAGATCCATTAACAAACTGCTCTCAAATGTCTCAAAAGTTTCACTTGTGTGAAATTGTGGAACTGATTGGTTGAAATGCTCCCATTCCCCTTTAACTTAAGGTAAAATAATGGTGACACATTCATCTTTCATGAAGTAGACACTGCAGACATGTTTTTAAAATTACATTTTTGGTAACACTATAATAAAGGAACATGAACTGGCAGTAATTAAGGCATTTACTAATGAATAACTAATCAGAAAGTAATAAGTCATTAATCAGGAACAAGTGAATAAGTCATATTTTAACAACCACAAGACTAAATTATTAACACGTACTAATGAATGAAGATGAAGGTAATAAAGGCTTTATTCAGTGCCTCAATTAATCAGGAATTCATGTGTTAATTAAGCATACAAAAAGAATGTTAGTACACATTGGTGAACTGCTAGAAGCTCTGTTAGTTTCATTCTATTCATGCAATTTATGATTACCTATGTCATACTGCAATGTCATACTGTTACAATAGAAACATAAACTGTTGTATGTTTAATAAACTGTAAACTAGTTTATTTACTGAAAATAGGCATTTGATTTAATTAAAACTGTGAATTATCTTAATATATGCCACAGTTATTCTGAGAAATACCACCTTCAGAAAATGAAATGTGTTTCCCATTATACATCTATTATTCTTTTTAAAAAATTTGCTATATCTAAATGTTTTATTAATGGAAACACAGCATTTTGCAATGTAACACTTAAACTGTTTCCACAGCTGGAATTTACTGCTATTTTTCTTTGCCAGTAAATGGCAGTAATTGCGTTAAATGCTATATGTCAAGCGGCCATAGAGTCTTGAGTGAATATCTCTAGTACAACGTTTAAGAGAAGCGAATGAAAATAAGTTCACATTTTTCTTACTTTTAAAGGTGAGTTTTGCATATACATACTGTATTATATAAGTAATTTACATCGCAGATATAATATTTACACATGGTATTGTTGTCTGAGTGTTGTGAGTGCTAGTATGTATGTTCATGCCTCACCTCTTTTTAGACTAAGGAGTAAAACTTGCAACTGTTATCTGTGGTGAAACAGAATGGATTTGAAGGAACTATTATTTCTAAATTCGTTATAAAGTAGCTTAAATATTTGGTTTGGTGCTTAGTTATTTGCAATAAACCTTTTTGGTTTTAATAATAAGGTGTTTGTGTTTCTCACGAGCGTCGTGTGATTATAGTAGTAAAATGTGGCGTCAGGCACGTCTATTCTGTCTGGTTAAAATCACGTTAATTTTATGCTGCTTGGTTCATTTGTTATTCCTCCTTTGACAGAGACTCTTATTGTGAAGGGCTATATGTGCGGTGGCAGTGCTTCACAGGGCCTTGTAGTAAACAGACTGAGCCGAGACAGCGAAGGGCGCGCTAACTGCCGAGCGCTAACCTAGTGCCATATTCTCCTCTTTCTTTTGTACTTCATTCTGAGTTTTTCAGTAAAGCTGAGTCACAGACTCGATCTTCAACTTGTGAGTTATTTGGAAACACCGCTGCAGTATGAATATCTTTGTGACTTTAATTAGCTAGCAGTTCTGTCCGTTTTACAGATGTTTGTAGAACTACAGAACCAGTATTGGTTTCTCTTCATTTTCCGTGTTACAGTGACATATTCACATGCTCTAGTTTTGTATATTGTGTAGAAGTCATAAGATGATAATAAAATATGCTTTTTTATTCCTGTGAATTTCGTCAATGTCATGTTTTCATATGAACCATGTTGTAGATCCTTCATCACTGTTCTTGAGAGGTCAAAAGAATGACTGTCAGTTTGGTAAGTAAAATGATTAACCCCTGCTATTTTATTAGCTCATGAACTCATCATGAAGAATTAGTATATAATCAGTAATAAATTGTGATTCGCTCATCACTTTCAGGGGCACGAACATTAATTCATTATGAAGAATCAGTATTTAATGAGTAATAAAGTGTGACTGGTTCATCACTTTACTTTAGGGGGCACAAACATTATGAATTCATCATGGGTTATCAGTAATTATACATATCAAAGTTGACTTTGATAGGCATAATATTCCAGAGCACTGTGTCTCAGGGGGATCTCGTGACAACATAAATTAACACATGAATTCCTAATAAATTCAGGCACTGAGTAAAGCCTTTATTACCTTCATCTTCATTGATTAGTACATGCGTTAGTAATTTAGTCTTGTGGTTGTTAATATATGACTTATTCATTTGTTCCTGATTAATGACTCATTACTTTCTGATCTGCCAGTTCATGTACCACATTTTTAAATTACTGTTTCAAAGGTCAGTGTGTTACCACCATTTTACCACAGTTAAGAGGAGTGGGAGCACTTTAAATTTTCAGATAATAATAATAATAATAATAATAATAATAATGAAAACACTTTACCCTGGTGTACCTTGCATCTGCAACAGATTTAATGACTGAATTTAAATATTCAGTGATTATTAGAGCTAGACCTTCAGTTTACGCCATAAATGTCAAAAATTTGTCACATCCTGAAGAAAAAGAATCCACTTCTATGACAAAGGTAGTTCCTGCTAGCGTCCTTATGGTATTCCAACAGTTTGTTAGCGCTAAGATAATGACAATTTGCATGAACTGTTTTTGACTGTTGTAGATTAAACATGGATACTTGAAGCTTAAGTTCTATGTTTTACTTAAAGCCTATGGCAGATTTTACCTTGCAGTTTCACAGTGACTTTCAGCAGAGAGGCCTCTACTGGTTTTCCAGTTCTAACAACCCACGCATTAGGCTGCCACTCATATTCACAGTTAGTGACGTATCTAGGACTTCCAGAAGGCCTAAAAGTGACATTTTTCTCACGAAATTGGTCCCATCTAATGGAAATGATTACGTGTTATTGATTCCTTTGTCAATGTGTAATTACTCATACTGATGGTTAATCTGACGTGTTAGGACCACTCTTCAGTCCTTGATGTCCTAACCAATCGGAGAGCTTGTTTAGCTATTATCTACCTAGATACCACAGAGGAAAACATTTCCTAATTTTTCACTGGGCATTTGAAGAATTTAGCCCTTGTTTCCATCCAAAACTTAACAAAACACAAGTAGACTGTGATACTTGTAGAGTTTAAATACAAGCATGATTCTGTTGAATAGAAATGTACTTTTTTTAGTTCCCAGAAATGATTATGAAATCATCTTGAAAGCCTCTGCAAATATGTAAGTATAGTGATTCTAGTACCCTTTTATTTTCACCACATATTGTATAGCAAAACTTAAATATTTATAAGCAAAAGTCACCCTTACTGCTGAGACAGCAGTACCCGTGGTGCTCTGCACTTGCTGCTTTGCATGGCCATGCCTCCCAAGCATCCACGGCTTAATGGGCCGGTACACCAGTCAGCCGTTTCGGCAGCCTAAAAAAAATCTGGGCAGGGTCCGAACAAAGTCCGGGCAGAGAGTCCCAGGAATGACGTCCCCTCCCCTCCTAATCACCTTGCAAAAGGGGCTACAGAGTGTCGCAAGCAAAACACAATGCAAGCATATGCCTATGTGCATTTGAGCTCCAACACTCAGCCGTGACCAACCACACCATCGTGCCTTGCTTCACTGCCTCCAGCCTCCAGCCACGCCACACATGCCACATCTAGGCATTGGCGCCGGTAGTTTCTCATGGTCAGCCATCATCCTCCAGCTGGGCACCACTGTCGAGCCTCATCATGCCATCTTGACTCTTCCACTACTCTTCGCCGCGCTGCTCCTCTCTCGCAGTCCTCGGCTGGACTTTTCCATCATTTTGCCACTGAGTTTGTCATTCCCCACCAGTCTGCAAGGGGATGACCCTACTTCTGACCCCAGTGTGGCATTAGCGTAGAAGTAGAAGGTGCGGAAACATAGCACTTCGAACGAGTGCTCTTTTACTGACATAGCAGACGGGGAGACCCGCCGCTCAGCGCAGCTAAACAGCTGTGCTGCAGGGTAGGTCACCTCCAGCAACATATATCCAGTCCATGGTGACCACTAGACCTACCCAACCTGTCCCAAAGCCCAGCACAGAAGATCACAAACAACACATATGCACATCCCTAAGCCCACAGCAACTATTTATAAATTAAAGTCTCTCTTACTACAGTCACGGCAGTACCTGTGGCGCTCCACATGGCCATGCCTCCCGTGCATCTATAGCCAAACGAGCCGGAAGCAGGACAGAACAATATTTTGATCTGTAGTAATGAAAGATGCATTCCAGCGACAAATACTTACGTGACACACACATGATGTCATTCGAATTATCAGTGGATGTGGGGATGCAGCTTATGTACAGTGCAGTCCTATGAAAATTTGTAGTGATGCTAAGCAAACAGTGTAAAGGTAGTGTCAACCCGTATGGTTTACCCATATAAAATAACACTGTAAAAAATGAGTTCATTGAACTTCAAATAACTTCAAAGTTAACAGAATGTAAAACACATTATTGTTCTGTTAACTTACTATTAGATATTCAATGAATTCAAAATTTTAAGTCAACCAGATGACTTCCTTTTTTAAGTTAAAACATTGAATCATTTTTACAGTGCAGTTTTGTCACAGTTTTGGAGGTAAAGAGCCGTGTTAAGTTCTGATGCGGGAAATCTAGCTGAAACAGCTTTCCCAGTTTAGGCTGAGGCAAATAAACATTCTTCACTTTTACCTCTTAGGTCCTTATATGCCAATCTTGATTGAGGAATGTCCAGACAGCTTCATTAAATAAACCTGGCAGCAGAGACATCCCTATAAGCTCCTAGTTTGGTTAAGGTCTAAAGGGTCGCAAAGAGGCCATGTGCTATGAGGAAGTAAACAGATTTACACTTGTTTGACAGATTAGACTACTGTAATGTGTTATTGGCTGGATACCCTGCTTTCTCTCTAAATAGTATATACTATTACTCTACTATATACTCTAAATTGCTATACTGAAATAGATCAAGTAAATATATTGAAATTACCCAGAATCAGGGCTGGGAAATGCAACATTGCATGTCCCTCTTGTGTTACCTGTTATCAAAATGCCTTTAGTCAGGGGTGTTGGCTGGGCATGCAAAGATCAGAGGCTCAGCCTAGTTCAGCTTAGTTCTGAGTTCTTTTGGCATATCATCCCCCATATGTTTTTTTATTAACCTGTAAAATGTGCAGTTGCTACTTTTTCCTTTGTTTAATGTATAATAATGTGCAGTGGTTCAGCAATGTTGATTGGCATGTCTTATAAACAAAATCATAAAAAAAATAGATATTTAAAGTGTTATGTTTGCGTGTTTGTTCCTGTTGCCCTTTCTGGATTTGACATTTGGATAATGATTCAAACAGTAAAGCCTTTTTTCTCTTTTTTATCTGCGAGTGTTGAATAGTGAATCAGTGAAACTCTTCTTATCTAAAAGCTAACAAGAGACAATATTTTAAATATAAAAATAAAATACAGCATTCCATCTGGGTACATTTGTGTCCTCAAAAACATTGAGGTCTGTAGCCTGCTCTGAGCCCTACAGGCCTTATAAAACATTGGGTTAACATTTTTAAAAGCTTGTACTGTATTATAAAGAACGGATCTGACAAAAATCTCCAAAATTAGTTAGTAAAAACTCACACCACAGCACACATCACACCACACATATCTTTATACAACATGTTTATCTTTCTTTATCTTAACTTATTAACAATTTTGAGCTTTTTATTTAGTAACAACCTAAAAATGAACATGTATTTTTTTTTTGAAAGTACAACTTGTTACCACAGTATTACCATATTATTTCAAAGTGTCATTTGAAATGACCCCTGAGTGAACAGCACAGAATAGTAGGTATTCATTTCCAGTTCCCACAGTGCCGTACAATATTTGTCATGTTTAAGATAACATTTGGTGAAATGTTTGTATTGCAACAAATTTTTGCATGAAAACAATTGCAGTACCGCCATGGCCCACTGGGGGGTGTGTCCACTGGTTGAAAACCACTCTTGTATATGTTTAAATAAAATGTGTTGGCTTAACTGAATATCAATTGTTTATAAATATGTAAAGATGTAAAATCTTAATCTGGTCTTGGTCTTATCTGTCTCAACCACTCCTGGTCTCTGCTCTGTTTTGAGTCAGAATTGACTACTAAAAGTCTTGGTCTTGACTCACACTCGATGTGTCCTGGTCTTGATTGGACATAGATCTAGCGATCTGGACTACAACACTAATTAGGGCCCTGTTGTAAGAGCATCTTATTAATAAACAAGGCTGTTGTGCATAAGATGTTCATTTTAGGTAATCTGAAGCTTTTGGACAAAATTATTAAAAAATATGCTTGCAGTACAAAAACATACTGTAGCAAGTTTGGTAAATGTTATAAGTTTATTCTGATTGTTCTGCTGTGGTTATTTTCTGTTTTTTTTCTTACAAGAACTCTAATTGTGATGCATTCTGGGATTGTGTTGATGCTTAGTGCAGCAAGACAGCAGGGAGTTGAGGCTGCCAGGCGACCAAGACATAGTTTAGGCTTAGAGCCCTCTGTTAGCATTTCCCCTTCCATGTATGAGGCAAGGCAGAAAGCCAGAGACAGCCTTTAATAAAGTCTACTGTTGTGGAAAAACTGTGTGCCTCCTTCCACAGTGGTTATTATGTACAGTGTTTTTTTCTCAGTTGTGATCTGGCTATGAATCTTGATAGTCCATGCAAATTGAATTAGCTGAAAAAGCTGAAGCACTATATTAGTTAAAAACATTTTTAAGTGCCACAATAGTGCCATTGAGCAGAGCAGTACTTGTAATGGAGAAAATATGTTGTACCTCATCATAGTTAATGAGAGTTGCTGTTGGAATGTTTGGTCCAAGTGGTCTGCTTGCTTCCCCCCCATAAGTCAGCTTCTATGAAGGATAGGGATGAATGAAATGAGCATAAACAGGCTACCTAAACACAGCAGCTCAAACGTGTGATTGTTACTGTGTCACTCGTGTATTATGTGGACATATGTGATAGGTGACATACATTCTCAGAAACCCAAAGAGGGTGCCAGAGGACATGTAATAATCAGTATACAATTCAGAGACCTTCAAATAGCTCAGATATGCAGAATATAGAAAACCTTATGAGCACATGGATAGTTACACTGTATACGAATGTGGATGAATCAGGAATTGTATCATATTCTGTTGATATAAGTTAAATTTGTAATATTAACCCTTGTGTGGTGTTCATGTTTTTGTTACTCAGTGGTCTGGTGGACCCACTGCATTATTGTTTTTTTTAAATCAATACAGCCATAACAATTTGTGTAAAAATACCAGATGTTTAAAATATCACAAGTGGCCAGTGTAGTGTTCTCCTTTAGCAGCTGTAGCCAGTCAGCAGCCTGTCCATGTTGTCCACCCTCACATACACGCACACATACACAATTGCATACACACACAGACACACACACGGACTAACAGCAGGCCATGTAGGAGGAGAACAGAGTGACGGGACACAGCACCTCCACACTTTTATTCCTTGCGCGTTCACCCCAACACCACTTGTATAATATAAATGTGTAGGGGGTGTACAGTGTGGAGTCATTGAAAATGTGTTATTTTATATGTTCTTCACAGAAAATGAGCAAAGGCCAAGGAATCTGAGGTTGAAATAATAATAAATCGCATCATTTTTTTCTTTTGGTAAACATTGAAAATGGGTCCCACAGACCTGAACACCACACAAGGATTAAATTAATAAGTGAAAAATAAACCTGGTCTTAAAGAAAGACCAAATAAGTCTGTGTTTTAATGGAAATGCCGGTTCATATAATTGGCTGAAATTTATCACATGCTGTCCTGTCATGTTTAGTTAAAATTTAAAATGCATTAAATTATTCTAATAATGATGAAGGAACATTCTTCAATAAATACAACTTACACTTAATAAACATAGCAAGGAAGTCATTACAAGGATCTAAGGTTTAGGTTTGGTTTAAACATTTGTCTCACTGCCCAAGCCACACAGTGCACAGTACAGTCACAGTGCAGTCACAGTTTTACATTAAAGCAAAGGAAAAGCACACAAAAAGATGTTACGCATACATTTAACTATACATATTCAGCAGAAGTACTTACAGTTGAAGTCATAAGTTTACATACACTTAGGTTGAAGTCATTAAAACTCATATTTATCATGTCCACAGATTCTATGTCAATGAACTATAGTTTCAGCAAGGTGATTAGGATATCTACTTTGTACATGACACAAGCAATTTTTCCAACAAATGTTTACAAACAGAATATTTCAATCATTGAAATATTATATAGTAAAATGGATTTACTATATAAAATTCCAGTTGGTCAGAAGTTTACATACATTAAGTTGACTATGCCTTTAAATAGCTTGGAAATTTCCAGAAAATGATGTCATGGCTTTAGGAGCTTTTGATAGGGTAAATTACATCTTTTGAATTAATTGAAGGTGTACCTGTGGCAGTATTTCAAGGCCTACCCTTAAGGCCTACTTGCCTCTTTGCTTGACATCATGGGAAAATAAAAAGAAATCAGCCAAGGCATCAGAAAAAGAATTGTGAACCTCCACAAGTCTAGGACGTCCTTGGGAGCAATTTCCAAACACCTGTACCACGTTCATCTGTTCAAATGATAATATGCACGTTTGAACACCATGGGACCACACAGCCATCATACCTTTCAGGAAGAACAACAGCAAACAACCTTGTGAAGATGCTGGAGGAAACAGGTGCAAAACTATCTATTTCAAGTGAAAAATGTGTCCTATATCAACATGGTCTAAAAGGCCACTCAGCAAGGAAAAAGCCATTGCTCCAAAACCACCAAAAAAATAAGCCAGGTTACAGTTTGCAACTACACAAGGGGACAAAGATCTTACTTTTTGGAGAAATGTCCCCTGGTCTGATGAAACAAAAAATGGAAATGTTTGGCCATAATGACCATCATTATGTATAGAGAAAAAGGGGAAGGCTTGCAAGCCAAAGAACACCATCCAAACTGTGAAGATGGGGGTGGCAGCCTCGTGTTTTGGGGGTGCTTTGCTGCAGAAGAGACTGGTGCAATTCACAAAAATAAAAATAGATGGCATTATGAGGAAGGAATATTATGTGGAGATATTGAAGAAACATCTTGAGACATCAGCCAGAACACAAAGCTTGGGCGCAAATGGGTCTTCTAAATAGATAATGACTCCAAGCATGCTTCCAATGTTGTGGCAAAATGGCTTAAGGATAACAAAGTGACAGTAATGGATTGGCCATCACAAAGCCCTGACCTTAATCCCATAGAAAATTTATGGGCAGAACTGAAAAAGCAACTTATTCGGACAAGCTCATGTATGCAAACGTGAGCCACTGGGAATGTGATGAAAGAAATAAGGGCTGAAATATACCATTGTCTCTAGTATTATTCTGATATTTCATATTCTTAAAATATACTAGTGATCCGTACTGACCTAAGAGATAGAATGTGTACTAGGATTAAATGTCAGGAATTGTGAAAAAACAATGTGGCTAAGGTGTATGTAAAATTATGACTTTACCTCTATATTGACATAACACTCTTACTGTTTTATTATTATCTATTAAATGACAAGTGAATGATTGCAGATGTATATTCACAAATATTGCAAACAATTTTGTAATTTTTGTAATTTTATGACATCTGAGATTCTATTTTGAAGGTTGATGAACAGTTTAAAATTAAAATGTTAATTATGTTAATAAAGAAGCCAGTTACAACACTGTAATGTTGCATTATGATTAGGTGTCTAAGCACATAATCATGAAACCCTGTTGTTCTTGTTAGGACTTTTCTTCTTCTTCTTCTTGTTATTATTATTATTTTGATTTTGCCCTGAAACAAATCTGGACCAATTAGCTCCACCAATGTTCTATCTGGAGCACACTCTGTATAATTTTCAATAATTATTAAAGCATGTTGACATTTGTAAACTGTGCTGCCATCATATGCCAAGTAGTCTTTCTGGAACACAGCATTGTTGACAAAGGCACAGTATATGATTCTAGAGAACAATTGCTAAATTGTTGAAAAACAAATATACTCCTCCCTTCAGTGCTCCTTCAGAAGCTCGGCTACCCACGTCAATGGACACGCATTGCCAAGGCGAACAACATGATCCGCATTGTCAAGGCATGTGTTGACTTGGTGGCTATAAAACCCTTTGCAAACATTGTGCGGAAAAATACCATGATATAACATTAGAGACAACAGCAACACAGCAAGTAATGTAACTAATGTTAGCTAGGTTGTGGATTAGCAAACTGTAACTACAATTGCTGCTGCACTGCAAACCAGTTGCTATCACAAATGTTAGCAAATGGGACAAAACAGTAGTGACCTCCTGTGACCTATCCCTTTTCATTCCTTTCAACTCTCGATGAAACTGGAGTCAGCTTCTTTTTCGCCAGCTTCTTGTTCATATTTTCCCATTTCACCTTAAATGTTGCAGCAGTTACATTCCTCCACCTCAGCTTCTTGTTCCTCCTGCACAATATAAGGTGCAGTAGAAAAATCCAAATAACTTTAGCATTGTCAACTTTCGGAGGTCTCTCCATCGTTGAAATGTTCTTGCCTGATCCAAGAACTTCTTTTTCAGTCTTTCTTGTTTCCTTTGTTTTTCAGATCTTCTCCTCTTTTACTGTTTCTTGGCCATCTCTCCTTCTTGACCATGCGTGGAGTTCAGCACAAAGCCTGATTACTTCCCCCTGTCCTGTGCACGAGCACAAACACCCCCTGCTGCTAAATGGCTGGAATAGTGCTGTGTGGCTCAGGACACTTTGTTGATTTCCCATTTACATAGCCAAGGCTTTGTACAACATCAACTTTTTTCCAGTGCACATGCAGAACGCTGAGCTAACAAGGAGATGTTCACTGAATTTGACAAAAAGTGTATTGGATTGAAATCATATATTGCGCCTTTAAACTGCTAAACTTGAGATTTTTTTTTCTGATTTGGATGATACTTGAGAAACATGTTCAAAACAGGCTGTTTCCCAGCATCCACGCACCTGATCAAGCATGATGCACCTTTCACCAGCATAAGAGGACCTTTAAGGTTGACCTAATAATTTGAAAAATGTGACATCCCCTGGCCAATCAGCTTTCATTTGACAGGCTTAACTTTGGACCTTTCGGCACTTTTTAGGCACTTCCTAATAACCACTAAGGTTTCAAAAGAACTGGCCACAAGGGGGTACTACTAAGGTTTCCAACAGCAAAATCAAGTATCTCACTTTCTTAATTTTACTTCAAAATGAAAAAACAAAACAAAAAAATAACAGAACCCATATCATGCACTGCAGTGATCCAAGCAACTTCTCAATTACAAGTATTTTCATAGGCCTCATTGTGCTGATTCATGCTTGTACCCCTATGATTTGTGGATATCTCAGGTGATAGGGAGATTGATAGTTCAACATGTTTGTTTAAATATAATTGTAGTCATTTAAAGTGTTCTTCAACACAAGAATATTTTGCACATTGAATAACCATTTAAAATAACATTCGTAACATATCTTTAATGCTATCTTTAACACATTTGTATAAAACACTTAACATTGGTCAAGTCATGCAAGCAGTGCATCCCCCCCAAAGTTGAAATGAAACACACGCTACTGATATTAGGTAAGATACTTCGTTTTTTCATAGTTTGTTTGGGAGTTAGTTCTATCATCTCATATTATGACTTACTATACAGCCTTTAAACAATGGATAGCTAATTTATTTGTCTTTCATTTTTCTGCTATATCCTATTATGTTGCTTCTAAAAGATGGCATAAGTTTAGTAAACTGAAAGAAGTCACTGAATTGGTTCATAACTTCAAAAAGACATTTTCTAAAACAACCACTATTCCAACAGA